CCGGCGACATACTCTGTTCTCAAGTGCGCATACTGTTGTCTTTCCTCAAACTGCTATTTAGGACAGGAGGGAGTTGAAGAATACGACGACCTACAACAGATGGAAACGGGGTTGGGAGATGTCTATGAAGAGCCAAGTGCGGTTGACGACGGCGAGCCGTCTCAGGCGTCCAATGGGCGAGATTCTGGCATCGCCCCCGGTGGTCTAGCAGCCCTTATGGATCGAGTGGATGCACAACTAAGCGTGGACCAAAGCTTTCCGGACGTCGATCCAAACATCTATGGCGGCGAAGGCATGGGGGGTGGGGGGCCTGTGTCGAGTGACGACGTGTATGACGGCGGAGAGGAGCAATACGGTGGTGTAGAATCGAACACCGAACAGCGTCGACAGCATCTCGAGCCGCCAATTGAGTCAGACAGTCATAGCAGCGCTGAAGCAGTGCGTAGGCTGGAAAACCTTCACACCCATGCCCCGTCTTATGCTGCGAGCTCGACGATGGAGGACGGCCCTGAAAACCATAGGCACGACACGAATGCAGAAGAATCTGATTTCTTTCCGTTCCGTACGAAGGAACAGCAGCTGATATGGATATGGCAGCACACGCACCAGATTTCGCAAAAAGCCTTAGGCGGGCTGCTGGACATACTCCTTCTCGAGGACGAGGGCAACGGTTTCGACGTGAGGGGACTGGAACGTGTTAACGCTGCGCACTTCAACAACCGCATGCGGCAATACCTTCCTCTTCTACGGGTTCTCGAGCGAAATGTCCCGTCAACACAAGAAGGGAAGAGCTCTGCGGTGGTGTATGACGTACCTGTGAACCTGCTTCTCGCTCGCGACATGAAGCTGGTCTCGGAGACAGCACTCTCAGAAACCTACGCGGCGGGGAAAATTTTGCGCGGAGAGGAGGCCGCCGCCAACTCGTTGATGAGCGACCATGTCAATTGTATCCCGACCAAGCTGGTCGACAACGCGAGGGAGTCCAACATGAACGGTACGCTGTCGAGTACGTCCCCATTCATGGGGCTTGATGGCATACAGAGCAGCGTTTGTGGGAGAAAAGTGTACGTACACGACATATGCATTTGCGAAACCGCTGGCACGCCTTCTTCCTGTCGTCTCCTCGAGCTCTTCTGGGACACTGCAAGCGGCGAAGTAGTTGCAACTGTTAGGGGGTTTCGGCCAGTAGCGGTGGTGCGAAATGTGGGGCAGGCGGAGATGCGAGGAAGACGTGTGCGAGTCTGGGAAACTGTACTGCTGGAGCGGAAACGCAGCTCAATGTTGCCGGCGACCTGGGCCTGGCGGAGATCTACACGGCCGACGAGATGGAAGCTGACAAGCACGATGGTGAGCGGGACCAAGGTGTTCGGTGCACTTATATGGGATCGGTTTTTGGGGGAAGGGTTCGTGGTCCAAGCTCGAGCAAAACGGCGCGTACGAGGTGACCCACGCGCCTTGGTGCAAGGAAGGGACCTCTGAAGACCCACTGTTCGTCTTGAGGAGGGAAGGCTTCCATCTCAACACCGACAACCTCGTTTTTATTTCAGCCCCTGTCGCTTGCTACAACGACGCCTTCAACTGCTTTGGCATGGGAAACAAGGTACGCTGCCTCCGCATTGTGATCGACCAGGATATTGTGGCACTGTCATTCATGTGTTCCCCTGCCTCCACCCCTCCCGTCAAGCAATACACCTTTGTAGATGTACCTCGTAAGTGTTGCCACATACAGTATTGTCTTCGGCCCCTTCAGCAGTTGGGTCTACATTGTCGGAGCTACTAGGCGCAGCACTCACAGGCACGCGCGCACGCCGTGCCTAGCGTGCCGCCACCTCGTCGGTCACAGGTCGTGCTCGGGGCACGCCTCGTCTCGTCGAACCACACACACTTGCCACCTCTCTTGTGATTGATGCATTGTCGTCGATTTGTCGGCTTGTCAGCATTCCGTAGGTGGCACATACTTCGGTTGGCCGTGGAGGAGCCAGGCGGTGCAGAGACTGAGGCGACAGACGCACGTCGGAACCCTTGCTAGCACCGGAGCTTCTTG